CAGACCCACTGATCAGCATCTCCACTACCTGAGTCACATCCTCATTGGCCTTTTTAGAGAGGATTAAAATAAAAGCGGTGTCAGGGCATTTTTTTGTTTGCATTTTAATAAAAGCCTAAAAAAACATGTTATGTACTTTTTAATACAGAGCTTCAAAGACAAAAATGTCTTACAAAACTTTGTCTATTTTGCAGCAGAACATTTGCGTAGACATGAAACTACGTTTTAAAAATCGAAAGTTAGGAAAAGTTGAAATCTATGTACTTCACCACCCTGTAAACATTTAAGAAGCATTAACATTAAAAGCATTAACTCTATATTTACCTCTCCAATGTCTCCCTGCACGACACGAATGGGATCAACCAAAATGTCTCTAGCAAGCCGCTCTATCTTCTTCCGAAATGTAGCACTAAACAGAAGAGCTGAGAAGAAATTAATGAATCAATATTAATTTATAAATTCTCAGTAGTTCCAGTATTTGCATTAAAAAAAAAGAATCATATCACTTACTCTGTCTGTCTGGGCGAACGTGGCTGGCAATGGATCTAACCTGATATTCTAAAGCAAAAAGAAAGAAAACAAAAAATGATTTCAACATACTGTAAATTAGAAAGAATAAAAGCACAACATCTTTCCTAGAGCAGTGACAATGATAACCCACCAAAGCCCATATCAAACATTCGATCAGCCTCATCGAACACCAGGTATGTTACTCTCTGCAGAGACGTCGCCTTCTTTTTAACGTGGTCTATCAGACGACCCTGTGCAAACACACTCGTGCAGTGAACTTAATGCTTATTTTGCAACAGTGCAGCAAATGCTTCATCCTTTAACCAGGAGAAATGAAAAAAGGTTCTTACTGGAGTGCACACAACAATCTCTGCACCGTCCTGCAAAGCCTTGGCTTGCTCCCACATGCTGCCTCCTCCATATACAGCCACTGAACGCAATGAGTAGGCTTTCCCAAAGCGCTTACATTCTGCATGGATCTAGTAAATATTAACAGTTACACACCATACCGAGCCAACGCTTTTAACAATGTAATTTCAAATATACCCTTTATACTCCAACCTTCTCTTACCTGCTGACAAAGCTCTCTGGTAGGGCACACGATGACTGCGATGGGTCCTTCCCCAGGCTCCAGTTCCTTTTGGTCCATGATATGAACCAGCATTGGCCAGATAAAAGCTGCAGTTTTGCCGCTGCCCGTTTTTGCAATACCTATCATATCACGTCCTGACAGCGCAATGGGGACACCCTAAAATCCAAATTTATTCCCCATTAATAACAACTTATTTAATTTTCACCCATGTGGATATCAAAACATTAAATTGCAATATACCTGACACTGAATTGGTGTGGGCTGAGTATATTCAGACTTCCGAATTTGGTGCATTAGTTGCTCATCGAAATTAAAGTGGGCAAAGCTGGTGCAAGGTTTTGGAGGGGCAGCACCAGATACCTGAGAAAGAACAAAACAATGAGCAACAAATAACTTAATCTTTATTTCACGATCCATGTTGCTAGTAATATCGGTGATAATGAAAATAAGACTAGAAAAGAAAGCTTAAACTACATCCCTATCCCTTCTCAGGTACAAAAAATGAATAACAGACTTACTCGTAAGTTTAGTTTATGCCTCAACTCCAGCACCTGAGTTCCAGTCAAGCTGCTGAGTTCCTCATGCTCTTCGTAAAAGTTTTTCTCAAAGGGTGGATAATCAATCTATGAAAAATAGCAAAAAAGGCAGCAAAATGTACAATCAAATAGTTATCATATGTGACAAATACAAAAACAACAACAACCCCCCCAAAAAACTGTGTGTTTTCAGTCAGAATTATGAACTTTACCTCTGAGTGGTCAATAGGAGGAAGTGGCATGATTATTTTCTTGGTTGTTGAGGGAATTGGATTCCCATCACTGTCATAATCAATGTTTTCCTCCTCCTCTTCCTGTGTCAGCCCGGCGGTGGGATTCTCTGCCATGTAGCGGAAGTAAGCTTCCTGCAGAGATTAAATCATTTCAGGTGAAAAAGTGAGCTAGTACAGCCTTACTACAGCCTCCAGGATGAAGTGACAAATGAGACTTTCAGCTTTATAGCACAAGCTTAACATACGGGTTAAAGAATACTTAACAATTTATAAACAAGAATGAAATGCATTTAAAAATATTGATCCTATATGCAACCTGGTCAAAAAAAAAGGGAAGACATGAGGCTTTATAACATTAGAGAGGGTAGACCTCTCTGACCAGCAAAGTAGAGGATTAAAAACTTTGGAGGGCTCACTCACTTGCTCATCTTCTTCTTCAATGTCATCACGAATACCCCTGAAATGACAAGCGGAGAAAAAAAAACTTCCCTGCGGCTCGTTCGTACACCAAAGACAGCCCACATCCCACTATGAGTACGATCAATCTCCTTACCTCACAATATCTTTTTTTTTTTAATTTAGCAAAGGTACTGTTGGATTTTTATTTTTATTTACATTTTTTTCTTGGAGAAATCTGAATGATAAGTTTTGAGTAAAGTTTAACAGCTTTTGGCAACTTAAGCCACATTTAAAATGAAATGAAATTTTGATCCAATTGTGGGCAATTTCTTTTTTCCTTTTGAAATAATTTTATTTGATGCCTCACACCTAAATTAAGCATAAAAACAAGCAAATATAGAGTCTTACTTGGCTGACTTTTTCTCCTTCTCCTTTTCCTCTAGTTTCTTCATGTCTTTAGCTGCTTGGTTCTGAAAAATAGAAATAAAATAAATCTGTTAAAGGCAGAATTTAGTTTAGTTTGTGTCTCTGCTTATCTGTAAAATTCTACTCACCTCAACTTCGGCCATGAAAGCATCCAAAGGGTCATCTTCGCTGTCTGAGCCGCCACCTGACTGCATCTGTTGCCGTGTGGGTGAGTTTTCAGCTGGGATGTAAGGCAGATCCACGTTACTGCTGGACTCCTCTTCATCGTCTTCAAAATATCTAATTGAAAAGAGGACATATGCAGCTTATACATTTACTCACAATCCCAGTATGTGCTGCTATCAAGGGCTTAAATTAATATTTCTATTACTGTACATATGTGAGATATGTAATACTCACGCATTTTCCTCATCAAAATTAGCTCTTTTGGTCCCTATTTTGTAGAATGATGGGAGCTGCTGGTTCTTCCCATATCCACCACTTCCAGATCCTGGGCCTCCAAATGATGTGTGTGATTGTTGAGTAAGGCGAGGCTCTTCTTTTTTTCCTGCGAGTGAAAAGCCCCCAAAGCCAAAACCTCGCTTCACACCAGGACCACCTTTGTTCCAGTTCATGGCTGTTCTGAAAAGAATTTAAAAAAAAGAGCTCTTAGAGAAGTCTCTAAAATCTTAAACCAGCCCTGTTACACTTCCCAATTTAAAGTTAAAAAATAGTTCTTCTTTCTCCTTTGTCACACCAACCCTGCTTCACTACATCCACGAACCTCTGTGGTCCTCCTCTCTTCCTCCTTACAGGCAGCTCAGTTTTTAAAAACCATCTCAATCTTGCCTCTTTAGTGTTGCCGGCCTGAGCTGTTCGTCTGATATACTCACTTCTAATTTTGTCCATCCCAACTAAAACCTGATCATGTTCAACTCAGCTCAGGCTCCTGTCTTTTTGTTAGGAAGCCAAAGATCATAGCAGGTCTCACTACCATTTTGTAAACGTTTTCTTTCACTCTCGCTGCTAACCTTCTGTCATAAAACTTGTCTCCACCCTGTCTCCACCGTTCGTTGCTTTGGATGGTTGACCCCAGGTATTTAAACTCATCCACCTTGACTACCTTTCACTGTTACACCTGTCTCCCTCTAATTTGTGCACATGTATTCTGTCTTTGTTATACTGACCTCCATTCGTATTCTCTCCATACCATAACTCTCACCAGTTCTCTTCCTCCAACTCACTACTCTCACTACAGATCACAATGTTATCTACGAACACCATAATCCACGAAGACTCCAACCTGACCTCATCCCTCAATGTGTTCACCTCCACTGCAAACAACAAGGGGCTCAGAGCCGATCCTTGATGTAATCCTACCCCCACAGTGAACCCATCTGTCACACCTACTTTATACCTCACCACTGTCTCTGTCCTCACACATGTCCTGCACCACGGTTACATGCTTCTCTCCCAGTCCCCACTGCCTCATGCAATAACACAGTTCCTTTCTTAGAATCCTATCATACACTTTTTCAGCTCCATCTGACCTTTTCTATACTTTGTGGCTCTTTATTAAAGGTGCCTTCAGCAAATCTGACTCAGCATTATGGACACCTCTCTCTTTAGCCGGTCACATGGTCAATAGCGTCCATTTCTAACAAGGGCATTTCGGTGGATAATGACGAGTTTACTAACAAATAATACGGATCGTAAATACATTACATCCCCTACTGCGGAAACCAACTTTAGCTGAACAACACATGCGCAGACGAGCATCTACGACTATTCACGTCAATACGACTACTATGATAAATACACAAAATTCATGAAACGCCTTTATTGATATCTATGACGGTACTACAGAAACTGCTGTCTATTGGCGGTATGCATATTTGTTAAAAAGCAACAGCAAAGCATCGACGTTACGGTTCCTAAAGCTTACCGCATACGCTAAATACGAAGATAAAAGTAAACACAATACATTTTGATTGCCCTGCTAGCTTCGAGAGGTTGTTTGCGTCGTAGCGGTTGGACAATAACAGCACTTGGACATGATTTATCTGCACCAAATGTTAGCGTTAGCTCAAGGCCGCAGTAAGGCCGAGGAGGTGTGCGACGTTAGGATCGAAACTTTGCCGTGAACGAGGCCCTTTCACAGCCAAGCGCAGCACAGAGCTTAATTTTTTTTTCATTAGCCGAAAGCATCGATCCTTTGTAGTGCTAAACGGTAGGGAGTATTTATTTACCTGTTTCTTATTCCAATAAAAGCGCCTCTGTTTTCACTAGTCCCCCACGGTACTTGCGTCAATCGTGTGCGCGAGGTTTCTTTTTGCGCGTTTCGTCATTCGCTGGCGACACGGCGCGCAACCCAGAAAGCTTAGTAGAGAGCTATCAAAAACATCCTGCTGGAGAGGATGGTGCGCCAAATAAGTTAATCTGAGACATAGTATCACACCAACAAGGCATTTCTGCTCCGAGCATTATACGGGTGAGTTATCGAGGTGTTAAAATAATGGCGTTTCTGACTGTAAAACAGGTTAATGTCGCCGTTTTAGCTAACTATGCCAGCCTGTAACCTCCATCGTAGCAACATTAGCGAGTACCCCCTCAATAATAACAATAATATCATTGTGGTACTAGTGAATGATTTCTTTATTTTCTTTCGCTTTATTCACGCTTCTCCTTCTTCCTCTTTTTTGTTGTTGCTGAGCAAATCTGGTTGCGTAGCCATCATCAATACTGAAACGTAAACTCCGACCGCTTCTAGGCTTAAAATGACAAGAAAAGAGATGTCATCTGTCAAACCAATAGTTACTTCTACAGGTCATTTAGCTGGTTGTTTTATTTTTCTATACAAGGTTTAGTAAGCGCTTTAATGAACGGCGATAACTTGTAAGCGAAATGAAAACGAGGAAAGACTGGTTTTGCTTGTTTGGCGACCTACCAAAGCATTAGACATGTTATTGTCTACAACTTGTGTTAAATTTCACATTTATTCTGTGAAATAATTGTAATATGTATTGGTTATATTTAATTTAATTAACCACTACTACAGCTGAGTGAGGCTAGACCGCTACATACATTGTTTTCTTTCTTTCTTGTTTCCACAGTTATTCCCTTTATCTGTTTTCGGCATCAAATGTAACACACTTGAGAGGATCGATGTCTTTTCTTGTAAGTATTTGGTCAAATTCTTCTAAATTCTTGTACTGTCTTGCAGGGCTGGTATCATGAGGATTGATTCTTAAGCCACACCATGCCTTATGTCTAATTGTATGCTTTTATTCATTATGTCCACTGAAGATTGCCACTGTACCAAGAGAAGGATTAATCCCTTTAAGGGATTCATTATTAATGTATTCATGTTTCTAAAGTTCACGCAGCAAAGAAACACTTTGCCTTTCGATGCAGCACTGCTTATAGATATACAAGACTGGACACAATTGCTAAATGTGTTTGAAACAGAGCTTTGCGCAACTTTCTCTTGCACAATATTAAAGAAACTTCTACAGCTGCACCTTATTAAATTAACCAACTTTATTCAGCAACATTAAATGTGCCTTTATTTATGTGTAACCTTTCCTTATTCTTGCTTGCATTTCTCTCCTTTTTCCCATTAACTCTCTGTGTATGTCAGCGTTGGGTATCTGAGAAATTGAGTGTGGAGAGCCTGCGGGATTTGGAGTTGTTTGGAGGTGAGACTCAAAGCCAAATTAATTTTTAACCATAGGGTTCACCTTTCACAAACCACTGACCATTCAACAGCACCAACAGAAAACAACTTTCAGTTTTCACTGAAGCTTTGCTCTAGTTGAGTATTTACTTTGCTGTGAATTTCACAATTATGAAATTTTTCCATCTCCTAATCATCTGTCAGCAGCGTTCTTAACTTATTGTTTCATTTTACAAGGGAACATTATCACAGGATGGCACTCACAACTGATGTCATGTGGGCTTGCCACGTTTTTGTCATGCTTCTTCTGAAGTTGTGTTTGGTATTAAAAGTGCTTATTTTTGACTATTAAATATTTTATTTCACAAGTAATTAAATGCGACTTTATCCTTTTAATGAATTAAGTTGCAGCTGACCACGTGTACTTTACACCATTAACATAAATGGTCATTAAAAATGGGATACACAGTAGATACATATGTGAAACAATGAAAAGAATCCAGATCATTTAAACATGTGGTTACAAACAAAGATAAAACATACCTAAAAGAAAAAAAATAGTGCAGTCCTAGGAATGGCTAAGAGGCAGAACCCTCAGAGTCCCAGGCCTCTAGTAGAGGACCCGAGTTTGAGGAGCACATACCAGGCCTCGGGGGTGAGAGGGAGATTTATTTAAATAGGAAGAGGGTACAATAGTATTAAAACAAGGATGGGAATTAAAATGCTTTTGTCTTGATTATTTTGGTTCCCTTAGATTCCTGATCGGGGGAGAAAATGAAAAAAATTCACGAGGTTTCAGCATTGGTGCAACTCTGAGTGTGAAAACAGTGTGGAAATAAAGCAAAAAAACAAGAAGGAAAAAACAAGAAAGGCATGCATGTGACTGAACTGTGCAAAAGGTCCACAGCCATTAGTTTGGCGTAATTGTTTTGCAGTGCTCAGCTGACAGAAAAGTATGCAAGCATTGATAAAAAACGATCTGAGGTCTGAGACATAGAGTTAAGGTAAATGGACAATCTGCAGCTATTTCTTAGTCCCCACCTTCAGTGACTGCAGTTCATGCATTAATTCATTAATGACTGCACCTTAAAGCTACAAGTAACTCTTTAGTGAGGTGTAGAGGGACTGTTGCAATGAGGGTACTCCAGGTTTTGCAGGGTTCATAGCGCTACAATGTCACATACATAATTTAATGTAATTGGTTACTGAAGAAACATCCATATTGTTGTAAAGCCTACATAGTATGGTGTCTCAGTTAATTGGGCTCCAAGGAGTCTAGTGTTAAACTCATTACACAGCCTTAGCAAAGGATGTCTGTGTCTCTCACTTTGTCTTACTTCTTCCCAGCTGACAGGTCATTTAACTCTGAGCAACTTATTTAAGGTTAGATTTGGAATAGTTCCACGTACAAGGAACATTTATGCAACTTTAAAAAAAAAAAGAAATCTTGATATTGGTAACAGAGTTGCTTTGCTAATGTGATGAGAGTTGTAATGATTTGTTAACTCTTGTTTCTGATATTCTATATAGTTTTTACCCCTCAGCCATAAAGGGCTGATGGGGTATTGTTGTCACCCTGCCAGGTGGGTGATGTCGACACATTTTGTAAATGCAATAACTGAAGAATGAAGCGATGTACAATTTTCAAATTGACACCATATGTATAGCTACCAAACAATCTTGAAGAAGTTCATATCTGTGTGACCTCAATCTTAAGGTCAGAGGTCAAGTTTTCTGAAAATCCTGTGAATGCAAAGCTCATCTTTGAGCTGTCAGACTCCTCAATAATTAGTATTATAATTGTGATATTCTTGTTATTTTTGTCAAGTATTTGTTTTTAAAAAGAAGTTGTACAGTATTTGTCTCATTTTCATTCCAATGCATGCAGATCATTGCTCAGAGCTGCATTTGGATCAAGTATATAATTTCTGTTTTGGCTGTGTTCATGATGGTTAAAATAACATCTTGGAAGAGCCTGATGGGTTTAGCGAGATTGTTTTGTTTTATTTTTTTTAATTTGTGTTTTTTAAGAACGAATGAAGCCTTTAAAACAGATAATTCTGTGTGGGTGGTCACCAAAAGGACAAAGATGCTGAATTAGACAATTCATGTGAAACCAGCAAAGCTCATTTATCACATTTTGGTTCATGCAGCAAACCCTTACTTCCAGAGGCTGTGTTAACCAGTTCAAAAGCTTCTCTAAACACAGATCCTTCTCTTGTTTTGTTTGTGTACATGTTTTTATGTCATTGATGTGGTTTTTCTACCCCAGAGCAAGCTCAGGGAGTCTCTCACAGGAAAGTAAGTGTGGTACTCCTGCCACTGCATCACCCCATGTGCCTTTTGTGTATGTGCGTGCATGCATGTATATGTATGTGCGCACACAGAATAAGCAGAACCCACTACCCCCTCAAGGCTTTGCACATTTATATATGCATGATTTTGCAGTTCATGACACACACTGTACATGCTTGTAGCATAGAAAGCCCTTTTCACCTCACTCGCGAGGGCTTCTGTTTTGTGGTTTATAGACAAGCATACCTGAAAGAGATGAATTCATTCCCTCCTACAGCTTATTTGAAATAGTCTGAGTCCTTTGGTGTGCTGCTGTTTACATTTTGGCCTTCAGGCAGCTGCTGTTTTGGATTTTGATGGGTTTTTGTAGCCGTACTAAAAGTCTTGAGTAACATTAAAAAGATATTGTGTGTTTTCACACTTCCTGTGTGAGGTGACGGCCCCTATGTTGAGTTGGCGGTGAGCTGAAAGTGTCACACTTTGATATCTGCGACCGTGTGTCCCTGCAGTTTGTTAATGGATGGAGTTCCATGTGTTGAGCTTTTGCAATGCATGGTAACCCCTTCTAAATCTGATCACAGTGGCAGCGTCTAGTGTACCCCATGTGATTAGATAACATTTGCCGACATTCCCTTAAGCGATGGCTACCAAAGCATGTTTGACTTTGCTGTCATGCCAGTTTTAATGTGTATTTAATTGAAACTACATAAAGATAATTTCTTGTGGCTTGGTTTACACAAGAAACAACTCTTAGTTTTATCTGTGAGGATATTTTCGGAGTTGTGTGTTCCTGATCTTGATCTTGAAGCCATCTCCAGCCTGTAAGAGTCAATTAAGACCAAAGAAGGGTGCTGTTCTAATTTTGCCTGTCTCTTACTGCTGGTCACCATGGAGACCGTCCAAATATTCCTACATCTTGCTGTCATTTGCCTCCACAGCTTGACTGCAGTCTGTCCATTTCCATCATTTTAACAGAAGTAAACTGATGGAATTCAGGAGTCCTCACTTTGAAAAATATAAACTGTTCTCTACATGTTATGTAAAAGGTTTTAAGCTTAACTTCTGTTTTTGTTATTGGAGAATTAGTTCATAGCATAGATGGTTTAAAAGATGGCACAGTTACCATGAAGTCTTGTTCCGAGGCTTTGAAATGAGCATTTACACTATTAGCGTCTTGGTTGCAAAACAAACAAACAAACAAACAAACAAGAAAACGCAATCAGATGTAATGGAGAGGGGCAGATCTGACTTTGAAACTGCTTGCTTATTGGTTCGTGACTTGTAATTGACAAGTTGTTAGCACATGAGCGTTCACACATGGCTTTCAGATAGAAGGCAGGATTAAGACCCTTCACAATTGGCCTGGAAGCTACATCCATGTGTTTACACTGTGTTGTTCAGAGGAGTAACCATATACAACTGATGCACTGTAATTCTCTGGAGCAATTAAAATTGCTTAGGAATTATTGAAGTATTCTGATTAAGTGGAGCTCTGGTCATTATTTTAATGATTAGACTTATAGTTTGCCCAGTTTGTGTTACTAATTTTCTCTAATTCCACTAGTGCTATGGGTCATGCTAACACACCTGAGTCTCCTCTCTAGTGATCTTCTAACAGCTATCACGCATAAGACTAAGTCTCCAGCTGTCACTCACAAACCCTTTTGGTTCAGTGCTATAACCACTGAGGTTCATGCCAGAACTGATCTTCGTTCACTGTTTCCTTTTCTCCTCCAGGCCAATGAGGACAGTCAGGAGAGTCTGACCTCGTTCCCTCGTCGAGACACTATGGGCAGTTTCCTTCCTGACAGCAGCTCTTATGAGCTCCTTGCTGTTATTGGTAAGTAAAATCAAAGATATGCCTCAACTTAATTCAGTTTTTGTTGGCAGTAACAGATTTGTTTTGCCTGCACTGGCTAAAGAACAGTTTCTTGTGATGTTTTTTTTTTTCTTCATAAAACTAGATCACCTAGGGTTTTTCCTGACTCCTAATGCGCCTTTTAAGCACAGCTGGCCTCCATATAGTTAAGGTAGTAGCTTTGGGTGACCTTCATTAATGTCGTTCTTGTTATTTCTGGACATTTGTTAAACAAAATGTATTGATGCTTGAGTAAAGAACACTCAACTTAAAAATAGTTATATATAAACAAGTGGTCAAAGGAACAATAAGCTTTTTCTATAGCAATAAGTCTATCAACTGTTCATTTAAAATTTTTATCCCTGCTCTTTTTTTTCAGTATTGATCAGAATTTAATCAAATGTACACACACCGTGGTCACCTTCCAGTGAATTATGATAGCTCGTGAGCTGGATGTGCTACTACATCATTAGTTTAGAGTCCTGGTGGTTTTTCCTTCCCTTTAAACTAAAGATGAATGTAAAAAGCTTCTTTAAAGCCTTGATTGTTTTAAGTGTAGTTAAATGGTAAGGATGTGTTGTTTTGAGGTTTTTTTTACTATTAAAGGTGGTATTTGGATTGTAAATAAAAAGTATTGTTAAGTTGTGTGTGTTTAGCATTTAACAACATAAATATTCAAACAAACAGAACTGGAGGATGACTTTGGCTATGTCCACAC